CGGGTTAGTGCTAATACACTTGGAAAGAGCATTTGGATGCCAGCCAGCAGGGTCTGAAGGCCAGCCTTGGCTCACCGTGAGGAGGCAGGCGGTTGGTCTGGGGATGTGGTGAACCCAGTGCTGCTTAGCCAAATGCTGCTTGTGTCCTTGTTTACTCCAGCCAGGGTGGGGAGCAGGGCACCCAAGCAGGAGGCTATGCTTGTAGCTATGGGTCAAATCTGCCCGTGATTGTCCTCCAGCACCCAGACCAAGGGGATCCAGATAACTCCCTGCAGTACTCCTTGGTGCTCAGCCTCCAAAGCTGGGTTGCTCACCAGCTCCACTGGGAATAACAGTGACCAGGAGCTGAATGGAGACGTTTCTAGCTGGCTCAGGGCAAACATTTTTAGGCATCTGTCTAACTGTTTATAGGCATTCAGTTTTCAACACCTTCTCTGACATGTCAGTTGACCAAGTATATCCATAGCCAGAGAGAGCTGAAGTGTGTCTGCTAACAGTGTTCGTCCACCTGGAAGACCTTATGGACCATATTTTTGCCTGCTCAGACAATGGTTTCAGCTCCTTCATTCACGTGCCCATGAATTCTGTGGCACCACATCCTGCCGAGCGAGGTGGTTGTTTGCCTGTCTACACTCAGTGTCTGTGGAGGCTCCTCTCCACCCCTGTAACACTCTGACGTTAGCACTTTTCATCCACCCATCACACGATGGGCTGGAAAGTCTGGTTACACGATACAGGAGGCAAGGCAGTGATGATTTTGCAAAAGCAAAACTGTTTGATGTTTAAATTGCAGGCATCAAAGTCATGGAAGGGCACATGGCCAGCATGGAAACATTTCTGAAATAAGTGGGACAAGAATCTTGGTGTAATCAATCTACCTGCTGGCCATTATTTGACTACGTGCTAAATTTGGCTTCTTTCTCCTCAGGAAGGATAGGAAATGCAGAGAAGCAACAGCTTTATCTGGCTCTGAAACCTTCACATTTGAGTATGGAAACCATAGCTAAGAGAACAAATAAATAAAAGAAAAATTAAGGTTTTGTTCATGCAAACAATTAAAAAAACCCCACATGGTTTTCTATACAGCATCCTGTATCAAAGCAGCCATCAAATCTTTATTCTAATTTTATATATAACACTTAATCAGTTGAATTTTTCTTCTGTCTTTCCCTTCTTTGTGAGAATCACACTCAGATAAAATAACCTTTCTTCTCATGCAGTTTTGGATTAAGCATACCTCCCAAGTGTATCTGGAGAGGTTTGTCATAGCTTCAGGAATCCCTGAACTAGCAAAGAACACGTTCCCAACCTGTGCAACAATGAAAACCAGGCTTTTAAGAAGCAAAGCAAGTGAATCATCCTTCAAGATGATAGAGTGACAAACTAATGATAATTATTTTAGTTGCTCCTCCTCTTGCAACAGTATCTAGTTAAAAGTAACAGCTGACAAGGAAAAGTACATTATGATTTTCTGAATATATTTAGACACACTAATAGATGTGGTTTTGCATTTATATATATGCATGGTCTTCTTACGTGTGTGTGTGTGTGTGTGTGTATATATATATATATAAAGACAATACTGGGCTCTACTGAGAAGAAAAATGAGGCCATGCAGGTCTTCTGATGTTTTTGTAGGAATTACTGATATCTGAAATAATTAACTTCAATATAATAGGAAAAAATATAGCAAGAAATTAATTCACTGTTACTTGCCATTTAATTTTAAAAAATTGCAACACTGATCTAAAAAAAAATAATCCAACCTCCCCTAATGTTTAAAAAAAAGGAAAACGTCACTGTAAATGAGTAGTTTGGGGCAAAAATTTCCTACTGGTTAACGTTAGTTAAGGCTAGGCTACTGTACTGTTGTTTAGAGGTATCTGTCAGCACTGAGACATGTAATACCAGGCCAGACAATACATCTTCTGAACTTCTGCTGAGGCGAAGCCCAGACCATTATCAGTGCTGGTGTTGAGCGGTGGCTGTACAGCCAGGGCAGATACAGCGCTGACTGGTGGCTGCTGCTGCTCGGCGCTGCGCCCGTGAGCAGCCAGGCACAGGTCACTCCCTTCTCTCCAACAGCCACTGCAAAGGGAAAGCCACTCCTGTGGGTGGCTGACAGCCGAAGGCTGCAGCTCTGGGCGAGGGGATACCCTGCTGTACACAGGGTTGGTCCTCACACTCGCGAGGTTCAAACTGACATCCTGTGCTCAGCTACTGCACACCTAAACCCGCCCAACACCAAGGAGGGAAAAAAACCAAACAACTTTCAATGACCTAACTGAACTGCCCACCTTAAAAAACTTAAAGTTTACTAAATCAATTGAGGAAAGCTTTTGTTATCTTTGTTTAGAGAACAGCTGTAAATGATTGAGTAAAAATGGAGTTGAACACTTCACCACACTTTTTTTTTAATTCCAGGATTTTACAATCTTTCCTCTTCCTCCTCCTCCAAACAAATTCCAGAATCAAAAAATTCCATATACATTAACTAATACCAACTGGACAAGTAAACTGATAGTTGAAGAGAATGCTTTGGTGCACAGAATAACTGGAGATGTTAGTATCTCAGAAGGTGGCTATACCACTATTCTGAGCTAACCTAAATGATTCCTGGGCAATCTTTCCCTGTTTCTCAAAAGTTAATTTCAAACCCTGAAATTTAGCTTCTTCTAAGAAAACTTCTTACCAATCTTTTTGTTTGCTTTTCCTCAATGTGCATTTTCTGTTGCACTGTCTCTGCAGGTTGGTGCTATTTACATCCCTTCTTGCTTGCGTTTGGTTTTGTCATAGATTTCATACTGTCATTTTGCTGGATTTTAACATCTCCACTATCCCTGTGCTTGGAATGATGTTGTTAAGGAAACACCATGAAATATATTACGATGACACATTTGGGCTACAAAGGCCTACAAAATTCACTAGTGAATGTGAAGAGGTCTGCCTGTGTTCCTCTTGTGGGACGAGGGGAATGCAGATGCTCTCCCTCTTACCACGCACAAGGAAAACCACTAGGCGCTTGTGGCACTAACCCAAATGAAAGGTGTGGGCCAGTCCCAGCAACTGCAGGATTACACAAAATTTATTTCAACTTTCCAGGCTAAAACCAGATATGCAGATCTGAAAACATGAACGGGATTTTTAACAAGAGACTTTACATGTCATAACTCAAGTCAGATTCAGCCTTGTTACCTTATTGCTTTTTTAAATGCAAATTTAAATAGTGGGTTTATTATTTTTTTTTTAGATGTATGTGCTCTTCATGAGACTTGGAAAACTGAAGTTTTATTTGTGGGGACCATCTTTTACGACAGATGGAGTTCAGTATCTATAACCATTATACAGGCTATGGTTTTGTGAAAAGAAGGATGAAGCTTGATGTACAAACCCCACACAAATAAGCCCATTGCATATCTGAAAACACTGGGAATTTTCAGGCTGGTTTTTAAGAAAGCAGACATTCAGAGCAGTGATTTTGAGCTCTTAGTCATTCAGAGAAGATTCGCTGCTATCAGAAGAGAACTGCTCATCTTTTTAGAAGGTGTCATGTCAAACTAGGGTAGACAGATCCCAAGGTCTCCAGCTTAAATCTAAGCAGTTCTATTTGTCAAGAGTAAGCATTAAACTTTGGGTGGGTAGTCTGATTTTTATGACCGTAACAGATTTAAGTTTTGTGGCTTTTCAATAATCTCATATATAAAAGGCTCCTAAAGTACACTTATTTACCACAACCTGCATCTGTTAAATAGAAGTAAAAAATACTATAAAAATACAAGTCATGTTTAAGATTCTTTGTAGTTGCAAAGTGTATCGTAATAAAGAAACTAATTTGAGCAGACAAATGTATGCAGGTTTAAATGAATTAATTTTCCATAAGGAGAATACAGGAAGGCTTTCTGTTCAAGTTGCTAATAGAGACAATTTTAAATAGTCCTTTCTTACAGTAACAGCAGTTGAAACTACTTAGCTCTTTTCAATTCCCATGGGATGAATACTGATGGAATAATTACAGCTATAATCTTTTCAGTCTCTTTACAGAAGTTTTCTGCAGAATTGTGTCATTGAGACAGAGCTCACTGTATGTAACATACCTGTAATTCAATTGTGCTTAATGGCTCCTACCTACTTCATTTTATCCATTTTCTTTTGTATTTGGAATTTCATGAATGCTTTTGTCACAGAAGTTTATGAAATAGATGACAAATAGAACATTCACTTTTCATAAAGATCCTGACTTAATGGTCAAACTACAGGAAACATCCAGATGCCTAAAAAGAACAAAAAAAAATTTTCAAAGAAAACTGGTTTTTATTTAAATTCCTTGTCTTAAACACTGTGACAAAGTATATTTTTGAAATCTGTTTAAGTCTGAAGTAGGTTCACCCCTCACTCTGCCCTCCCTCCGAATAAATGAGCCAATTCTATACATATCTACAGTATTTAATAAAGATGTCCAAACCAGCCAAGGTTTTTACATAGATGTTTCAGCACGTAAAGAGGAATATTTAATGTGCTCTCACTCAGACAGCAAAATTAAATGGAAACCATAAGAGTCTTCTGAAGAAAGAATGCATTAAGCCATTTCTGTCTGTAGGGAA